GATTTAACATTGGATATACCTGGACCAGCAGTTAATTTACAACCTGGACCTTCATCTACGCAGGAGGCTATTTTTCCATTTACTATGTTCTTGCTTTCCACATTCGCATCACTAAACATTATAGACACTCGAATTTTTTAAATTATTTTAGATTTTTGGTTGTACTGCGACACGATGCTTCAATGATGCAGAAATCAAGCACAATGAAGCGAAATTATCTTTCCCTACCGAAGAAAAAAATTTGAATTGCACAGACGAAAAAGAGATTGAAATTGATAATTTTGAAAAAAGCCGAAGGAAGTTGAAATTTCTGGTAAGTTCAAATAACACTGAGCAGTAATTTGACCTATTTTTTATTTTAAAATACGAAAATACTCTTTTTTAAATGAACATTTTGATATTTATAACGAAGATTTATAGTAGAAATTCCATGTTAATGATGTTACTGGGATGCTACCTAATGCCAGGCGCAATTGTTAGGCCTTTTGACCTTTAGCTGATACTTAGAATTCCAGCAAAAATGATGGAATATTGTTAGTAGTAAGTTATTATAGAAAAGAATAAAAAAAGGAGGAAAAGGAGAAAAGAAAGTAAGAAATGAAAAATAGAAAATTTATGAGATTACTGTAATGGTAAGAAATGTTTCGGTCCATTAAGTCGCATACATTTCGTACCATTACCATGATTGGATCTCACCAGTATAACGACTGTGGTAGTTGAAGTTAGTGAAAGTTAGATTGTGGTAAGTGAGGTTGGTGAAATGTTTAGTTTGCGTTAATTTTCCCTTTATTTTATCAGAATTTTTTGGGTAAAAAACCAAAAGTATTAGTGACTTCTATAAAAATAACTTTTTTGTTCAAAAGAGAATTGCTGTTTTAGATTACCCGAATGTGTTCACGGCTTGTACTTCACACAGATTATCGTATTCGACTTAGCGTGCTGACCGTTCTGTACGATATCTATTCACAGTGCTCCATAAGCCTTGCACCACTTATTGAAAATGTTCTCATCGATTGTGTCGTCCTGTTGCTCAATGATCCGTACGAAAGGTGAAACGATTCAGTTGTTTTTTGAATCTATTTTTATCGCTGATTTTGTAAAAAAAGAGAAACAATTGCAATTTTTTTCAGTATTTCTATGCTTTCTGCGAAGGTCAGAGATCATTTGATGCAATCATTAAGTAGCAACTTTATGAATCGTCTGAGGGACCGCTTATATACCTTGTCAAATTCGATTCGTAACGAAGTTCTTGCAAAAGGAGATGTAAATGGACGCCTACAACAGGTTATTATTTATGCATTTTTGGATTATTAGAATATTTGGTAGGGAAATTTTAGCGAAGATGCTCCCACATGCCAGGTACATGTTATGTCAAATCCTTCAATCATGTTATGTCACCAGCTAGTAGGCCACTTCTCGGAAGTCGCCCGAGCGATCGTTTGCTTTCTTGCGGGTACCATTCGCCAATACATGACTTTATATTTGTATAATTTGAATTATTTTACCCAGATTTTATTTAGTTTGATTTTTTAAAAATCAATTTCATACCACTTCATTTTGACTCTTTCATCAGTGACTTTTATAAAAAACAATTATGATTTTGATTTTAGTGAATTGCTGAACGTGCAGACAATTTTTTACGATTTTTTTTTTCAGATACATGGAGTGCTGTTGACATTAATTTCGGGTGGTGGTGACATTTTTCCGGAAAGAAAATTTTCGGATCAACTAGCTATTGCCATGGCATCAACTCTTCATCTGGATTGTAAGCGCTTACTTTTGAGCAAGCAAAGTGCAGAAATTGCCGGCAGCGGTTTGGGTAAGTTTTGCCGCTTGATCAGAAAAGTTATTCTTTGTTTCCGTGTTTCGTGGAAAACTTGCGAAAAGCCGACCAAGAAGCTGGCACAAAAAAAGGGGAAGAATGGCGTGTCTTGCCCTGAAAGGCGGATACACAGTAGATGTGCTAGCAGAAGAGCCGGTGGTGTAGTGGTAACACATTGCTTCCGGACGTGGAAAGGACTGGTTCGATTCCCTCCCGGTCCGGAACGGTTTTTGAGAAAGAGGTCCGTCCACGCCAGTAGTAGTGTCTTCCCGAATTACAGAACTTTCCAGTGCACTTGCACTGGATTGGTTTCCTATTTACAATGAAACAAACAAATTAGTCAAGACATCTTTTTTTCTTTAATGCAAATCTTTATTTTGTAGAACTTTTGGACAACTTAGCTCTTGCGTATGGTGTCAAAAACAATACGGTGCACCAGATTGCTACCTTATTAGCAAAATCGGATAGTGTAAGTTGCTTTAATTATTTTTTCACAATTCTCCATCGTGTGTAACCCTCATTTTTTTTCCTGAAAAAAAGCGAAAATTGAACATAGCGGTAAACAACGTTACTTTTATAACGAAGGGGAATATTTCG